CTCTCTCTCTCTCTCTCTCTCTCTCTCTCTCTCTCTCTCTCTCTCTCTCTCTCTCTCTCTCTCTCTCTCCCTCTCTCTCCCTCTCTCTCTCTCTAATAATGACAATAAATATTTATAGAATTGCTTGATATTAATGATTGAATGTATGGTTAAATTTGTAAATATATTGTACAAAAAGCGAATCTAAACCTCATTAAAGTCACCGACTCTTGGGATGTGATTCTTGCGCGATTTGCCCATAACTTTACCAGAATTTGATATAATAACTGCAGTATTCCATAGGATATTGTTATTACTTTCATCCCTTTCTAGGATTGGTGATACAATTACCATATCATACATTCGTGCCATCTTTTAATTAATTATAATTTATATTAATCACCTGTTTATTAACTACAACTATTTAGTAACAAACCTCTTGTAAGAAAGTGGTGGTCGGCCCGCACTCTGCACTCTCTGCCAACTCAATCCACGGCAACTTTTCACGGGTACAGAAAGCAAAAGGCATTGCTTTGTTGAATAATGTATGTTTTGATATAAAAATATGTACTCAACGTGATTAGAATATGTTGTAATGTCATATAAATATTGAATTGATTCAATTCACTCACTCCATGCCTCCTGAAAGCAGATTATATTAACGCCGCAAAGAGCGGCCGCTGCGACCATATCTGCCACTCGTCTATGAATGGCATCCCTCTGATCAACAATGGGAGCACTTGTGGGCAAAACAATGGCATTTTGAATGATTCCAATTCTAACAACTCTTGGTTTCCGGATTTGTTCCCTTTCAGCGCTGAATACATAGCCTTTTAATTGAAAGGATTTTTTTAAAGATATTTCCAATGCTTGCGAAGGAATCTCGAGTTCTCTAAACAAATAAATTAAATTTAATAATTTAAATAATAATCATCATCATATTTATGACAAAATCATTCAACAAATCCATTTTACGGTAGTTGTTGTCCATAAAGAAGTCGTTTTATTTCTTTCAGTTCTTCTTTTGATGCAATGTTTTTTTCCAGACAATCCTCAAGAGAGACAAGAGTTGTATTTTCTGCCATTTTTACATACTTTTCACACTATTTAATACAAATTAATATAATACATGTTATATGAGATTTTGTTAACAAACAGATATGACTGTGAATTTTAATTCAAGGTTTTATAAAATTAACATCAATCGCAAATACTCACAAATCAAATCGTCAGTACATAAAATGATGTACACTGTACACTATACACTGTACAGTAATAATACAGTACAGGCCTATGATAGAGAATCACAACAAACCATATGATTTGCAGATCATTCTGTACGCATAGAATCTGTACTACTGTAAGGACTGTAACACTAGAACTTATAACTTATTGGTGCAGTCCTTACAGTAGTACAGATTCTATGCGTTCAATGATTCAATTGAATTAATGCTTTACTTACGTTATTATTACTAAAACTCTTTGAAGTGTCCTCTTTTTCAAAATAGAAGTTGGTCACCCTAGTTACTGTTCAACTCGAGCCACTCTCGTAAGTATTCTGTGAATAACAAAACTTCTTCTGTTAGCCCAAAACTCAAGTACTGTATAGTTATTTTCAAAACTATTTCCATGTACATATAATTTAGCCTATGGTTTCAATAATTAAACAAGGTCACACAGCGACAATACGTTGACCACAATTCGGAATGCATCAAAGATTTCAATTTTTCAATGCTATTGTTAGGATGCTTTCAATATTGCTATTTTCACAATTTTAAATATTTTTAGCAAAATTTGGTTATATTTCAATTGCCAAATCTCATAAGACTAACATTGCCATAGACTTAGCGTTACCCATTTTAACCCTATGTCACAAACTTAACATTACCCATAAAATTAGCATAGACATGTTAAACCTATACCATAGACATGTTAAACCTATACCATAGACTTAAGCTGTAATCCCATAGAAACCCTTGTTAAAGCGTCCCCCCATGTTAAACCAATAAAACCCTATGTTAAAGTATAGCCATAAGATTAATATGGTATCCCCATTAGCATTGCCATAGACTTCTCATTACCCATGTTAACCATATGTCATAGACTTAAGCTGTAATTTCATAGAAATTCATGTTAAAGTGTCCCCATGTTATCATATGGGAGTTTCCCCCTGTTAAAGTAAAGCCATAGGATTAACATAGAATCTCATATTAAATTCCATAGGGTGGAGGAGGGGTGCCGAACGATCCTATAAACCACAGTTTTCATCAATGTGGTTAAAAATATAAGAATTGAGATAAATGTTTATTTATGTAATTTACATGTTATGTGTTATACTGTGTTCAGTACAGCGCTTACTCTGAAACTCACTTACAGTGTGTACACCAATTGTGATGACAAGTGTATGTTATTGTTGTGAACAGTAGTGAACACGTGCCACATGTGCCACACGTACTACACTTGCAATCATGTCTTGTTTGCCACTATTAGTGCTGAGACGACAACTGCGAGACACTAACACTTCACGCAAACACATGTTGTCATCAGTTCTGAAGACACATCCATTGGTTTGTCATCAGATGATACCATTGACCGCAACTATCAATCATATGGACATCGATTCAATTGACTATAAATTGTAAGCATTTAATGATTGACTGTTTTATATAATAATAATATATTTCAGTTTATTAGTGGGTCTTAACTGTGGAAGTGTTGTCATCCATGAGATCGTTGACCAATATATGGGCCGAATTAATGAATTGGTCTCTAAGAAAGTGGACTCAACAGTAAATCGGTGTCAATGGTATGGTATATATGTTGTGATGATATACTGGTATAATAATGTGATGGCAACAGGTATTCAGTGGATTCTGGTATGTTTGCCGTAACCAGTAGTGAATCGGTTAGTCTTGTGGACACAAATACGATGAAACGAGTGGACAGCTATCGGTTCCCGGACTGCAAACTCTATTGGAGTGATTGGAGTGCAAACACTACCACTTGTATTGCAGGCAATTATGCACTCATTCAATATGGGATTGGCTTTACTGAACACAAAAGTTGATTACTTATTGTCACACTTGAACGTAAACATCAAACCCAATATCATGACCAATAGTTTTACCTTCATTTATTTGATTCATGCCTTTGCAGTGCTATATGTGGCCAAACGGGAGCACTGCATAGCACTGGCAAAGGCAGCAATTATTAATGCATTCAAATATCTAGAAAACATTTGCAGATAATCATTGATTATGAGTCAATTTGCACATGATATTGGTTTTGAACTTTATGATAAGATATAGCATGGTCAATTGAAGTAAAGTGAATCTACATTTAGAACTTTATTGAATGACAATTGTTATGTTGATTAGTGGGCTCTTCGTCTTCAACTATAAGGATAATTGACATCCGAAGCGGCAGTTCTTTACAACACATGACATGCCTTTCAATGACTGGATCTCTTAACCACCACATGACTCGTATTATTTGGTCACCACTTGATTCTGATTGTCTCATTGCTGGCGATTCTTGTGGTTATTTGCATATCTATGATATTAGACGCGCCAATAGATCAGTTCGTGTGGTTGGAAGCGATGACATGTCTTTCGAGCCGATATCATGTCTACAGTTCACAAGAGACAGAATGTCTGTTATAACAGCTAAGGGACGCTCTAATAAACTCAATTCATGGCATTTCTTGCGCTCAGATCTGATCCGATCCGACGTTAACTTTGAGTGCCCGACAGTACGAACCAAACAAACAAAACACAATCTCAACAGTTCTTACCTCAGATGTCAAGTCTTTGCTGCTGAAGACTATGTGTTCACTCCAAGTGAGACTAAGATAATGGGAAACGATATAATCAGTTATGGTATGAATACTGGTGTCAAAGTTCACAGTCTAAGCACATCAAGAGAAGGAACATTCAATACATTGGGACCGAATTGTGTGACCGGTCTTGATATGGGATCACTTGTGCTGTACAGTGGAGGACAGGGAAGGCTTTGTGTTTGGACTCCAAATATGGACGTCTTGAACGAAGACAAACCACTT